TGGGGCCCCCAGGGCGTTCCACCCTCGAACTTTATGGGTTTCGGGTTATGGGTTTAGGGTTTAGGGCCTAAGCCCTGAACTTATTTATGGTCTCCTTCACCCCGGTTTTGAAGCGCCTCCCCGCCCCTTAAGGATCCCATACTTCACCCCGAACTAACGGACTTTTGGTAATGTTGATGCTATAAATCCTGCATGACCTTAAGGACCCTAAAATCCTAAACCCCAAACGGGAGTTATGGCCTGTGTCTTGTTCTGGGGAGTGCAAGAAACAAAACCATCAACTGCAGCCAGAAATCTCCCTAGAACCCTAATCCCGCAACCTTAAACCCCAAAAACCCTAAAGCCCTAAACCCTAAAACCCAAACCCCTAAAACCCCTAAACCCTAAGCCTAAACCCTAAGCCCTAAACCCTAAATCCTAAACCCACCGTTTTAAGGATCCCATAACTGAACCCTGGTCCTTCCAGCCCTGCAGGTCTAGGGTTTAGGGTTTAAAGCTCAAGGCTTAGGGTTTAGATGGGTTTAGGGCTTTGGGTTTTCGCCTCCAACTTAGCAGGGGCTTTGGGTTTAAGGTTAAGGGTTCAGGGCTTTAGTATTATTTCGGGCATTAAGGTTTTGGTTTTAGGGGTTTAGTGTCATTTGGGGCATTAGGGTCGCGGCTTTACGGGCTTAGCAATGTTTTTGGTGTCTTATAAGGGTGCAGTGCTCTTCGGGTTTGGGGTACGTCTTGCCGTGCCGGGGTACGCGGGTTTAGGGGTGTAGGGTTAAGAGGCTTTGGTTGGGGGGCTTCGGGCCAAGGGCAGAATAAGAAGGCCGTTTATGGTCCTTTCCCAGAGTTGATTAAGGGCGTTGTAACGGTATATTATGGTTCAACTAAACTATATAAGGCCAACGAGGAGGGTTTAAGGGCGCGGGGCTTTCCGGGTTTAGGATCCGCAAGTGCCGGATCCTGAGTGACCAGCAAGTTGCAGTTGAAGCCTTTGTGGTGTGTGATGAGTTCGCGCGCCACGTCGGCATCCTCTCGGGAGCAGGCTTGAAGGCCCTGCGTGCATCTTAACGCACAATCACGAATCAACTGTTGGTCGACATGACTAATACCCCTTCTAGTTCCTTTTATTCCGCTTCTAGTCCCTATAACAGTTAGTTGGACGTAATTATACTATAGAAGACTCTGAAACTCTATTCCAATATTGAGGCCCCTATACTACACCTGGATGTCCATCTCAGTCAGTCAAAGGGAGCAGGCTCTATTCAAGACTGGAGCTGATTCTTGAAGCCTCTAGAAGCCTTTATTCTAAACCCTAAACCTAACTCCTAGACTCTTAAGGACGAACTGAACTTTAAAAGATTTTCAGGTTCATATACCATATAGGGATTCAAAATATCAGGGTATAGGGCCCCTACTTATAAGNNTAAGGGTCATTTGGTCCCCAAGGACTCTATCTCGAAACCCTCAAGGCCCCAAAAAACCCTCGCAAACGGCAGCACGTCCTCGAACCGTGCCACCTCCCATCCGGCAGGAATTTGCAGAAGTTCCTCCTGACTGTGACCGTGCGTCACGTCATCCAGAACCTCAGGGCTTACAGGGTTTAGGGTTT